ATTTATAAAACAATACACTGAATCTATTGTGCTTAATGTACAAACAAAGTATTGGTAGATCTGATATTGCTTAAGCAGAATGTAAAAGTCTAGCTGACTTTAGAAATTAATGAAGCAATATCAGAACTAATAACATTTCTACACACACACACACACACACACACACACACAAAATGCCCAGTTACTGACAAACCTTAACCCAGCAATTCTCAGTCATTCCCACACTCTGGGGACTCATGCAGTTATAGCTTCCAGATATTCTTCAAGGGCAGTCACATGTAGAATGAATACTTGCAAAATCATTGTTATCAGGAGCACGTTGTATATTTCTGAAGTTTGGGTTTTTTAAATTGAACTGTTCTATGTCTATTTTTACTTGAAATTTCTATTTAGTTTAATTCCATAGCTCCTTGTACTCTATCAATAGTTAAAGGTATGACAAAGCAAGACCTAAAGTTCTCTTCTTTTTAAGATACCTTCCAGGAATTCCATTGGCCTTAACTTGTATTACTTCCTCATTTGAGGATGAATTCTCTCTTTTACAACAGATCATCCTTTATTTTCTTTTAATTCTGCATGCTGCTGTATATAATAAAACTGAATACTACTTTATATGTGTGTATTACTGTTCCAGAAGAAAGCATGCTCATTGTCACTGGAAATGCTTTATCGTCATGTTCAGGTGAATGTGTGTGAACTTTTTGGTGACTAACATTCACATAAAGTGTTCTTTTATTTTTTTTATATGAAGTGATGTACTGATTATTTGTCTTTTGGTTTGCAGGCACAGGTATCTGTCAGTTGAAGAAAGAAGATGGTACTTGCAGGGATTTTGTTCTAAAATGGTATTTTGATCCAAAAACCGGAAGTTGTGCTAGATTCTGGTATGGTGGCTGTGGTGGAAATGAAAATAGATTTAACACACAAAAAGACTGTGAAAAAGTCTGTGTTTCAGGTAACAAATAGATAATTGTTTAACTGCATTCTTTTATTTCTAAGAACAAGTGATTAATAAGTGTGTAAAACAATTATGGTATGTTTCACTGTTACATGGCATTGTTTATATGGTAATATGCAGAGAGAGGTCATAGACATTGTATTGACAAGTCCTAAAATATAGTGCCAAATGTTTCTAGTGGTTTGCTGTATTAAACCAAAATTTGAATCATAGACAAGAAAATATTTTTTAAAAGATAGTAAACATGTTTGGTGGCATAAAGTTGCTCAGCTTTCCATAGTGTATTTTAATATAGTTTCTGAGGTCTTTCTGATTATGTAGATTTAGATAAATGAGAAAGGAAAGCCTGCCCAGGGTTGCATGTATAGAAGTCATCTAGACTGCATAGACACGTTAAGATTGAGGGTGTGGTGCAGGGATAGGTTGCAAGCGGTACGCCCCAGTATGAGTGTACCGGTGCCTGCCAGGAGCACCAAGTACCGTTCCGGTATGGTGCTCCGGAGGGCCCATCCACCTGCCCGAGCTCCTTACCTGTTTTTGAGCTCTTCGGTGCTTCCGCGCATACAGCGTATGGCATCTGTGCTATGCTCCACTGAGCAGCTGCAGTGTCACAGAGGTGTCGTGGAGGTAAGGATGCATGCACGCGCTGCACACATGCATGTGGGGGACGCCGGGCCCCATTGCACTGTACCGGTTGCAATGGGATCCGGAATCCACCTCTGGTGCGGTGGCAAGCCACAGCTTACTTTATGCAGTCAGTCCTGGAACTGCTATAGAAAACAGCAATTGCTTCAAAATTCTTGCGTACCTTTATGTATTTTGTTAAATTCATCAGACAATATTTTCATGAAAATGTTTCAGAACTGAAATTTTAATAAAATATTGTTCATTTTCCAGCTCACATCAAGTCTGGTGTTGTGACAATGATTGGAACTTAATTACAGCAAAATATCAACAGATACCTCTAAGAAAACCAGGAGTCAGCCATTGCCAAAATACCCCATGTAGAAGCTAAGGGTATAAGGCTCCCTTGCACTGTGCTATTTCTGCTTTACTTTCTGCGCAAACCTTGAAGAAAGTATTTGCTGCACGATTTTATCAATATGGTGCTAAAGTGTTTGTGGATTGAATGCTCATTGTGTCTGGGATATACTCTGTAATTTCAACAGTATGTAGTATTTTACCCACTACCAATTCTATTTGTTTCAAGAAATTAGTGTTTACTTTGGATTCTACCAGCATTACCTATTTTGGCTATTGTAAGAATTCTAAAAGAATGTGGAAAAAAACATTGCCATTGTTATATACTTGCTTTTATCATTGTCATAACTGAACATAACTTTAGATGGAAAGCCTTATGTCTGTTGTGAGAAAAAAAGGAGTCAACTTTTCATTCTACTTTTACTTTTGCTGGATTAGACTTTATATCAATTTTGCTTTATGTATGTGTGATCAATCACACTAGTAACAAACTCAGCATTTGCTGATACTGGTACACTGCTGGGATAACAACAAAATTCAAAAGTTTTTAAAACATGGTGTAGAAGGTTTCTGGCAATCTTCTAATGTAATGTGTTTTATAATTTTTAATATTTTTTGCTGGGGTGGGAATTCTTCATTATTTTGTTTCTAGGAAATCTTTACAAAAGAACTTTTAAATAAAGTTTAAGTGAGATTTTGAAAGTCTCCGCATTTCATTGTGTATGTGGTGGTGCTTTTTACAATAAAACATGATTCTATAAAAATGGGCTTTGCCATCTGGTCTTGTGATTACACATCAAATGGAACTTAAGGCAGTAGCCAGAGCTTTGAAAGCTTAAAACAGCTTCCTGTTTTTTTGCCTGCCTTGAACATCTAGATCATGGGTCCTCAAACTATGGCCCTCGAGGCAGATGTGGCCCACTGAAGCCATTAATCCAGCCCACACAGCACCATGACGCTGCCCTGCCCACACTACCCCGCTCACCGTTCAGCCGAGTGCTGGTGTCAGATCCCTAAAAGTGATACTGCCATTCGATTGGGAGAAGGAGAGCCTCGGAGTTAATTCATTAGCTACATCTGAAACAACTGAGTTTTACTGGTTTCCTGTCACAGGGAGACTGAAGGTCCCAACATCTCTGGAGGGATGTTGATGGGAGCCATGTGGGATATCTTACTTTGATGTCTAACTAGAGATAGCCATGGGAATGTGTATTTTATTGACTCCCAGGGCAGAAGAGTTAAGGAAGCATCTTCATACTTGTATATTCGTCAGAAT